TATTTTTTATAAATTGTCTAATTTTATTCTAAGTTTAACATGCATACATACATATATATTCCTTTAAAATCTCGCAAGGAACTGAGCTGCACTGTTGCTCATGCTAATGCATTCATGCATGCATGTATGTATGTATTTATTTGCATATGTATGTATGCATGCACTGTTGGCACTTGCAGRTACGTGTGCATGTGTGTGTGCGCGAATTTACTGCTGTTTTGTCCGGGCCTCGGACTATATAGATTTGTATGTCGGTGCACATACGTACGTATGTATGTGTATATATCTATCTTTACCTGGGAATTGTATTTATTGTGCTTTTGCGTGAAAGGTCTCGAATGTGTTTGACAGTTTAAGTTAAAATTTTAGCAATTCGATTTGGTGTTCTTTTTTTTTTCTTTTAGAATTAACAACAAATTATAACAGCGCTCTCTCTGCATGTGTGTGTGTGTGTTGTTATTACGCAAATTTCTGCATTTGTTGTGCAAATGAACGTACTGAACGTGGATGCACTGACACATGCACTCACACACACACACGCACACATAGATAACTCGGTTTGTTTTGAACCCATACTCACCAAATTCGTTTAAAAACAATGCATATATATGTAAACACACTGCCTGTGTATGTGTGTAAACGCGTTCACATTTATAAAATCACTTTTGTGCTTGCGTCGTTTAGTTGTCTCAATATTCAGATTTATCAAGCTGTCGGCTGATAAGTGAAGGACCTTGAATCTTCTGACAATTGTTAACTCACAAATGTAGATAATAACTCTGTCTGCAGATGGCCGCTGCTATGCACGTACGTCGCAATTTCCTACCTAACGCGTCAACCTTTGTGTTTGGACTACACGCACATAGATACAATACACAATCAAGCAGATGTTTTCTGCGCTACACGGCGATATATCGATAACACTGTTCGATACTGTGGTGTTGGGTATTTTTTAAGCCATTTTCTGTGTGTTCGCAGATACGGGCACACGTAAACTTTGGTTAAGGCGCAATTTTTAAATTTGCTCACATATTTGCTGTTTATATTATTCTTAATGCAATTTTGGTATTGGTTAACTTACCCTACAACGATTTATCTAATATGTGTCGTATCTCGCCCGCCTCTGAGCTGCAGTCCCAATTGGACGCATTCCTGGCCGACTGCTGCCTGTTTGCCTGGTTTCTTGGCGCCGGCATAACTGTTGCATATGCCTGGCCATTCGCCAGGACATAGCCCTGCGGCATGTGCAGCCTGGGCGCCGGCACTGGATACATGCGCGGTGTCTTCTGTAGCGTCAGCTGATTTGCTTGATTCGCTTGCTGCGTCTGCTGCAGCCGCTGATGCTGCGGCGTCCAATAGATTTGGCTTGTCTGCTGTGCGGCACGATCTAGGATTAGAGGCGTGGCACGGCCATGCTGTTGTTGTTGTTGTTGCTGCAACTGTTGCTGCTGCAACTGTTGTTGTTGCTGCTGTGCCATTGCCAGCTCCTCGATGCGCACGTAGCCCTGTGGACTCGCCCGTATATACTGCGGCTGCATATACAAGCTGCTATTGTGCTGGTAGTCAGTGATCAGCTTGGCCGCCTGCAGTCCATCCTCCGTCTGGATGAGCACGTACTCCGTGGGCGTCAGCGTGACCAGCGATTGGCGCTGCAGCAGCTGCTGATTGGACACATACTGCTCGGACTCGTTGGACAGGAGGCTGTTGCGCTTGTTCACGTGCGCATAGATGGGCGAGGCGGTGGCGGCGTAGCTGGAGCGCGGCAGGCTTTGGACACGCAGCGGCACTTGGGGCCGGGCCAGACTCAGCTGGGAGGCGGGACGCTTCTGCGTCTCCACGGAGGCATACGACACGGGCGAAATGTCCGCCGGATGCTGTTGCTGGCCATTGTGACGCTCATAGATGGGCTGCATTTTGGCCGCCGGTGCCGGCGTGCGATTGATGGACTTGCGACAGAAGTCCTTCACCTTCTCCAGGATCTCGTCGCGCGTCAACAGGCCGCCGATGCGTCGCCCGGCATTGGCCTCCTTGCGTCGCAGCACCACTGGCGTCTCGTTCTCGTTCTCGCTCTCGTAGCCACGCCGCATGCCCCGCTCCGGCGGGCTAATCAGCTCATCCAGCACGCTCTGGCAGCGCGCGGGCAACTGTTGCTGCTGCTGCTGTTGCTGCTGCTGCTTTTGTTGCTGTTGTTGTTGCTGCTGCTGTTGCTGCAGCATTTGGCGATTGCGTCCACTGACGCCAGCATAGGTATTGCGTTGGACGGAGCCGCGCACAAATGCCGCCGGCGCCGCCAGCTGCTGCGACTGCAGATGCTCATAAATATTCTCCTCGCTCTGGCGTTGGCGCTGACGCTGCAATTGCTGCTGCTGCTGCTGCTGCAACTGTTGCTGCTGCTGCTGCATGACCTTGTTGTAGAGCTGTCTATCGGTTACCTCCTTGATCGCCCTCAGCTGCTCCCATTCATTCTGATTGCTCGACTGCGTCTCCAGAGCCTTGCGCACCGGCGTCGATGTGGCTATGGGATAGCTGCAACTGTTGCTGCTGGCATTGCCATTGCTATTGCTGTGGCTGTGGCTGTTGCTGCTGCGCTCCTCGTTGGAGGCCACGGATCGACGCTGGCCCACGCTCTCCAGCCGGCTCAGGGTGCGCTGGCCGTGCAGCTTGATCTGATTGCGATCCATGGAGGCGGAACGCGTGAAGCGATTCAAATTGTTCTCCGGCGGCGAGACGCGGCGCGGAATTAGACTCTGACGCTCGACGGTGCTGCGCTGGAACGGCACCGGCTCCAGTCTGGCCTCCAGCGTGGGCTTGGAGCGTGGCTGTGGCTGAGGTTGAGGCTGCCTCAGCTCCTGCCTCAACTGGCCATTGGGCTGGTTCTCGAGCAGGATGCGTCGCATCTCTGCGGGCGTCCTCAGTTGCTTCGGCTCCGCAGCGTCGCTGTAGACGCTGCGCGGCGCCGGCAGCACGGCCTTGGGCGTGGTCTTGCGGCGCGTGGCAAAGAGACTGTTGGAGAGGCGCTGCAGCACGGATAGCTTTTTGGTATTGCTCTTGCGCAATGCTGCCAAGGATTCGGCCACCTGCTGACGTCGCTCCTCGGCCGTAGCACGCGTTGGCGTCACCGTCGGCGTCGCTGCCGGCGTCGACTTGGGCGTCGTCGTGGGCGTGGGACTGTTGATCTCCCGCTTGGGCATCAGCGCCAGGCCCTTGCGCTCCAGATACGCATGGAACTCCTCAGAGCTAATGGTGTTGGTGAAGGTGCCCAAAGGGTGTCCATTTGCATTCCCATTCCCATTCCCATTCCCATTCCCATTTTCATTCCCATTTCCATTCGTTGTCATCGTGGCTGGATCGTCCTCGGCACTCGGTGGATTTAGTTCGTCGCTGGACTCGCTCTTGGTCAACGGACCGTCGATCTCGTCCAGATCGTCGTCGGAACTGATTTGTAGCTTCTTCACGCGCTCGTCGAACTTCTTGGCATTCTTGGTCACCTCGGCGGGATTGAAGTAGACGCCGTTGGTGTCGGTGCCCGTGCGTATTTTCAGATTGGCCAATTCCGGATAATTGGGCTTGGAGCACTTCTTGAACGTGGCCGTTTTCGGTTTACCGTTAGCCTCCTGCTGCTTCGCTAGCTTCGTTGCCGGCGTCTTTGCCTCCCTGAGCCGATGCGCCGCCTGCTGTCCGTTCGTCCAGACCTGTTTACGCTTGGGCGGCTTGCCGGATATCTCGCGTAGTTCCTCGAATTTCAGACGCGCCAGCACCGTGGGATCATAGACAAAATATGCATCCGGATTCTTGATATAGGTCTTCACATACTTCGATTGCTTAAGTACCTCCTCGGTGGTGATGAAATCGTCGCCCACGAGCTCTGCCTTCTTGCGATTGTTCGCCTCGTTCTTGAGCTGTTCGCGCTCCTTGTCCTTCAGGGACTTCTCCTCGAGCTCGCGCTCCTTGAGCTTCTCGCGTTCCTTCTCCTTTTCGCGTTCACGTTCACGCAACTGTTGGGTCACCGTCTTCCTCACACTCAGCGTGGATCGTTTGGTGGGCACCGGCGGCGGCGTCTTCTTCTTGCCACTGCTATCTATGAGGCCATTCTTGAAGGGATTCTGCTGATCGACAATGGGATCGCCCGTGGTGAACTTGCGTATCTTCTCATCATTCGGATTGAATGTGACGCACTTCTTCACCTTCTCCTTCTCCTTCTCCTGCACACTCTTCTCCAGCTTATCGCTCGGCTCCACAATCTTCAATGGCTCCTCCTGGACTATATAGTCGCTGAATACCTTCGATTTCGAATTCGATTTCGAATCAAGCAACAGCTGGGCATCCTCAATAGACTCAATCGTATCGCTTAAAGTTCCATTTGCCGGGGCGTTACGCTCGCTGGCTAATGTGTCAGACATCTTAGGCCGTAGCGCTCGTCGAGGGGGGACAGGGCTGGGGAGTACGAAGGGATTTGGAGTGGAAGATAGTTGGAAGTCACTCGTGTATATCCGCCCACCATTGAGATTGTTGCCAAAGTCCCAGCAAGCAAGAAATTCTGAAACAGATTTACATTGTATCAATGAGAGTGAGAGAGATAGATATCGAGAGATGGGTTCTACTATATCATAACTTTGCTTACTTGCAATTTATATTCCCTTGGCTGTATCAATCGCTAGGCGTTTTCATAACGCCTCTAGCTATACGGAATTCTTCTATCTGTAAGTTGAGAGCAGAGAAGGAGAAAGAGAGAGTTTAGTACTTTGTGTACCATTTAAAACTATTATATATTATATTATTTTTATACCCTGAACCCATTGAAAATGGGAAATCAGGGTATAATGGTTTTGTGAAAAGTATGTAACAGGCAGAAGGAATCATCACAGACCCCATAAAGTATATATATTCTTGATCAGGACGACGAGCTGAGTCGATATAGCCCTGTCCGTCTGTCCGTCCGTATGAGCAAAAGAATCTCAGAAGATATAAGAGCTAGAGAGCTGAAATTTGGCATGCATACTCGTGAATACCATAGGCAGTACGAGTTTGCTTTATTTTTTCGATAACTCATCCGATAACTTTTTTATCGAGAATAATCGAAAAATCGACTTGGTTTTTTCATCCTAGTTGGAACACTTTTAAACCTGGAGACTCCAAATTTGCGTTGTATATAGAGTTAATGGACACAAAGATTTTGTAATTTACAGATTTTGGATACCACGCCCCCTTCGCCCCCAATTTGTAAAAAACGCATTTCAAGTACTAGAGACTTGTGCTTTGGAATGTACACATATTTTAACCATATGATTACGCTCTGAAAGTTTCATTAAGATCGTATGTCTACAAACGAAATTATTCAACAAATAAATTCTCATAATATTGCCCACATTGCAGCGCAGCCCAAGCGCAGTCGCTGCTAACTGCGCAGTCAGCAGAGCGCGTGCTTATAAGTGCATGTGTATGTATGTGTGCATAAAAGAAGTCCAGACTGATAATTATATCATCTTGGAGGGTTCAGGGTATCTCCTAGTCGAGCAGTCTCGACTGGAGCCTTCTTACTTGTTATTTTTCATCTTTAAATAATTATTGAAAAATCTTAGCCCTAGGTAAAGTCACTCTGGGCTCCACTTGTATATTTTCCAAGCCCTACCTTAAAGACCTGTAGAAAAAAAGTTTTAACCGATTCGTCCAGAAGGTTTATAGCTATATACCCCTTATATATGAATATACGGGGTATGTTCAAAAACAAAATATAAAAATTTGGTGTATATTCAAGAATTTCTATTTATTCCCTTTAAGGTAATCCCCCAGTGTTCTGAGATAATAGATAATAGTCTCAATATTATTCCTGAACTGACTATAATAATTCAGTTGATAAATGTTCTTTATAGC